CCCACCAGAACTCCAGGCCTTTCCCTCTCAGATCAGTGTAAACAGTGGAACCATCAAAATGAGTGCTCGGCACTTCAGCAGAGCGCACTGAGGTGGGGAGTGGGGCCGGGCTGGGGGCTCATGGCAAAGGCGAGCGCTGAGGAAAGAGAAGTAAGGCCTTCCCTCTGTCCTTGTGCAACCAGCAGAACATGGAGAGGCTAGCACACAGCAGAGGCGGCTGCAGCACTTAACACAGGACACTCCCTCGTTGCTGCAACTGACCTTCCCAGCAACGCTGGGATGTCGATACTGACAACCCATTTAAACATTTCATCCAAGATCACAATGAGCTAGAGATGAAGCCAAGGCTAAAAGTTAGGTCGGTCTGACTCTTGAATCTGTTTTCCAAGCTATTGCACTCTACTGATTGCCTCTGTGAAACAACCTTACACATGCGTGCGTGCATGCCCGTGGAGGAGAACTGTATGATCTAGGTGTGCGGCAGGTCAGTCTCATTATGACACAAACCCTAGAGACTATCAAAGAAAAAAACTGGTAAATCTGATTACAGGAAAATAAAAACTTTCTGCCTGGGAAAAAGAAAAAACACCATAAACAAAGACAAAGGACAAATGAGAAACCAGGAAACTATCTGGAACACAAATCATAGACAAAAAGCTAGTTTCCTTAATATATAAGGAATGCCTGTAGATCTGTAAGAACCAACAAAGCCAAATGAACTGTCAGCCAATATAAAAGACATCAAAAAGTTCACATTAGAAGATAGTAAACTTTATTCATAATAGAGAATTTTGCAGACAATGTATTAGAGTTGGTGAACATCAGAACATTTTACCATACACACACTGGTAAGGCTTAGGAAAGAAGCACTCTCATAAATTACTAATGAGAGAATAAATGGATACATCCGCTAGGAAGACAACCCGGCATTATCTGTCAAAATTATAAATGTACTTACCCTCTGACCCAAAATTCCAATTCTAGGATTTTTATCCTGCAGATAAAACTCATATGGATGCAAAATGATGCCTGTAGAATGCCAGTCTTTGTAGCAACGTTTGTACTAGCAAAAGTTCGAGAACTATCTAAATATCCAGCAAAAGGAGACTGATGAAATAAATTATGGCATCTTCCTATGACGGCCTATTATTTAGCCATAAAAGAGAAGAGAAAGCTATTAACGTATTGATATGGAACAAGCCCCAAGGAAAATAGCTAAGCAAACAAAGCAAATTAGAAATGGCAAGCCAACTCTGCTATCACCAATGGAAAAACCAAATTACATAGTTTGTACATATATATTTGTATGTACCCCCTGGAAAGATACACAAAGACTGGTAACAATAGTTGCTTTCAGGGAGAAATGAGTTTTGTGAGGGTGACTTCCTTATCATTGTATACTTTGTATCTTTTAAATATAATAATATGTGTTATGTTATCTATTCAAAAAATAAATTATACACACACACACACATATGTATAGATATAACCACATACAAATAAACATCCAGTGCCAAACAGTGGCAAAAGCTAGCTTCTGGCCCAGTCTTGTAGCTAGTGGGCTAGTGAGAGAAGCTACTTCACCACGCAAGTCTCAGTTTCCTCATCCATAAAATGAGGATAACAATCCTTCCTTCCTCCTGAAGTTTGAGGAGCAAATGAATGAATATATGTAAAGCCTTTGGACCAGCACCTGCTACACGGTAAATGTATGCAAGTGTCTGTTAAAGTAACTGCCATCTAAACTGAGATCAGAAAGATCAGCAGGAATTAAGACAAGGAAAAGGGGAGCAGGGGCGTGCAGATGTGCCACTCAGAAGGAATAACAGGTGCAAAGGTCAGGGGGTAGGAAAACGCACAGATGCACTGGGGAGCGGCTGCAGTGTAGCCTGTGAGGAGGAGGAACCACAGGAGACAGGATGAAAGGAGTGAGCGTGGACCCGTCAGGACAGTTCCTCTGTGGAGCACAGGCAGCAAACAGCGCATTTCAGGCAGGGGAATTCCGTGACTGAACAGGCTTTCCTAGAAAGAGTTCTCTGGCAACAGTCTGGAAAACAAGTTGGAGAAAGGCAAAAACCAGGTGGCAGAGGCCACTTGGGGTTTGCTGCCACGACTTCAGAAGAAATGATGAGGCTGTGCGCTAAGACAGTGACAAAAGGGAAGTCCAAGAAGAAGGATCAGAAGACGCAAAGGAGGCAGAATCGACTGGGCTTGCTGACCAGGAAAGGCCGTGGTGTGGGAGGGAAGAGGGAGCCAGGGGCAACCCCAGAGTTCTGACTTGGGTTAAGTGGAGGCCCGAGATGCAACTCCTCAAGATGAGGAGTTCAGAAAAGGGAACTAGTTGCAGAGGCAGGAAGGTGGCATTCGCTGAGGTTCAAATGCCCCATAGGTAATCCGTATGCAGCTAGACTGTCTAAAGCTCAGCTTAGGCTGCAAACACAGCTTTGAGAGGTACAGGACGAATTTTAATACTTGAAAGCTCTGGACTATGTATGGCTAAGTCACCTGCCACCAAATGGCAACGGTCCCTTTGGTCCAAGTAAGAGACTTTGGAGAAAGCCTGTTACCTGTGATGTAGCTGAAACCCATGCGCCCTCCCTCCTTCCCTCTCTTGGTCTCCTTTCCCTTGCTCCTTTCTTTTCTTCTCAGTTTCCTTTTCTCTTTTTCTCCTCTCTTCCTTCCTTCCTAAAAATAGAAGAAAAGTCCTCACAAGGGGTTTCCATAAAACTTCCCATGAAAGAACCTATTTCTGACCAGTTCCATTAACCAGTGGCAATGCCTCTAGTTTCCCAACATCCCTGCCTCCTTTCGCATCTCTCTTCCTACAGAGCTGAAGCCACTAGAAAGCGGTCATGGTCCCGCAGGTGCACTGCACACCATGAGGAGCATCCCTGAAGACCTCATTCTCCCATGTGCCTGTCTCCACAGGGGCACCCGTCTAGGTATTTCTTAGAAGGACATTCCGTAGTTTTCTCCAGCTGAGGGTCTTTAGCAGAATGAGTCCCACTTAAAGTCCACCAACCAAAGAAAGGGTTTTACTCAGAGGCCTTAGAACCAACTTCTAAAAAAGCATACATTCTTCTGGTTAAAAAAAAAAATGCTTTAGCAAGATTTCTGTAACTATTTAGCCAGGTGAGGCTTTGAGTATCACTTACTCACTAAAATGATCCTTAAACTTCTCTAAGCTTCAGTTTCCTCACCTACAAAATTGAGATGAACTCTCTGATCATGACCAGATCTCCTTCTGGCTCGAAAAATTTGTGAGTCTAGAGTTGAGGGAGGATTGAAATTGGTTTCATGACAGTGTGAAATATTTCAACAACTCAACACTGCCATTAGAACATTCAAGGCAACTTCATTTTTGGAGCTTGGTTGATTTCCTGACTAGACAATAGAAACATTCCCACTTTCTTACGTGCAATGTTTATTGCAACGGCAAGTATATTATTCCCAAAGGGAAATAAATCCCTAGTATTATAATGAAGCAGGTGCTCAGTTTTCAAATCTTATGCATCCCAGAGAAGCCATCTCATTTCATGGCCTGAAAAAACACAGGGAGAGAAAATGGCATCCCCATCATGGGTTGCTACTATTCATCTGTCGGCTTTTTGCAAATTATCGGCTTACCTTTCCAAAATAGAAGATAGAAAGTTCCATCTACCAAGAAATGGACAATGTATTCTCCCACTTGTAGAGATTTATGAATTCATGAGAGTAAGTGAGGAGTACAGGCCAGGAGACCCAACCTAAATAACAGACTCCCTGACTTCTTGCTCTGATATGCCATGGAACCATCTAGATGCATTTGGTTATTATAGCAAGGCAATGGGCATTAAAAATCAGACGGAAGGGATTTTCGTCTACAGCTCCACACAAAGAGAAATATCACAGGAAGGGTGGTCATTTGTTTAGTTAAAAGAACAATTTTTAATGATACCCACCAAAATGTGATGTCTCTAGCATAGTACTTTAAGTAAAAAGCAACATATGTCAAAGTTTAATCGACTTAAAATATTATATCTTAAAAGATATCAGGTAATGTACCCTTACAAACCAAAGCCTGATTAGATTAGTTTGAAATGCATTATTTTGAAAAATAATTTCAGTTGAAATCTGATTTCAGCAATGTGCTTCTGGTAATCATATAAAGGAGAATATGAGGCATCTTCCAACATTTACAGCATATTTGCTCTTACTAACACAGCAATATATAAATCAGCTGTCTAATTTACTAGAAACCAGATATGATTTACTGGTGTTTGGAGGGGATTAGAGGAATAATGCACGAAAAGGTTTCCGTCTGTGAAATGTGTATGTATAAAATCTAAGTACAAGTATTTATTTTTCACTCTAAATTGTTCCTGATACCCAACATCACTCAAAATAAGATAAGGGACTAATTAAATCATAAACTGAGATAGCTATTTCACCTTTATTTTCAGAAAATAAAAAAGGCTGGTGAGTATTCACACTGCTGGTAGAGCTATATAAACTACTAACTCTACAAAAGGCAGTTTGACAGAATCAATCAAAATGCCAAACACACTCACTTGTGGTTACAGCAATTCCATTTCCAGGATTTCTTTCCTATAGACACATAAAAGAATGTAATACAAAACTATTCACGGCATCATTGTCTCAGAAAATGTCAGAAAGGGATGAGTTACTAAGTCATAGTGGATTAATCCAGCCTTAACAAAGAGAAAACCAGCTCCTAACTTACTGATATGCACAGAATTCCAAAACGTTATTTTAAGTGAAAAGCACATAAGCAGAACAGCATGTATGTCTGCCACCCTCTGTGTAAAAAGGGGGAACGAAGCATATACACATACATATGCATACATGTGCATATATATATATATATCCATATATCCATATGTGCATACACAAGTCTAGACACAGATATCCATATGTGCATACACAAGACTGATGACACAGGTTCTGGGAAAGGAAACCTGGTGTCTGGGAGAGTCTAGGAAGAACACTCCCCCCCGTATGCCTTCTGGGACCTTTTTATTTTTTTGCGTGTCATCCTTGTGCGGGAGCCATGCCAATCTTCTCTGTATCGTTCCAATTTTAGTATATGTGCTGCCGAAGCGAGCACCTTCTGGGACCTTTTGAATTTTGAACCATGTGAACATGCTCCATGTTAAAAAATAAATTAACATACAAAAACATGTGACTATAATTTGTTCACTGGTAATCACTGAATACACACTCGTATGTATCACTACTTAATAAGAACTTAAAGGACTCTATTTTTAAATATCAGAACACTTAGAGCAAGACTGGGTTGTTTTTTTTAAAAAATGCCATATGATTAAAGCTGTGGAAATAAAAATGAGGTGCTCTTCCTCTTTCCATTCTCTTGAAGTTCTTAGAAAATAATAAATGACATATACCAGTTTGGAGGAAACCATTTAAAGGGACATAAGTCATCATTAACCCTTCCCCAGATGAATGACAGAGAGACACATGTTCTAATTAACACTGAGTAACATTGTGTAGAGAGCAGTTTGCAGTGGAAATGAACAGATGGCAGACAAATGCATGAAGTATTGGGGTGCAAGAAAGAAAACTTGATCTGACACTGGAAACTTCAAGCAACTGAAAGAAATTGCACCTGAGTGAGAATTGTGCTAAAATACAGATGGGCTGCCCTATGCAACTCTCTCTAGTTTTTAGGTGCATCGGGTTTGGCTGCTTTCTGTATTAAGTTCACGCAAGGCAGATGCTATTCCAAAGCCCATCCCACTTTCTACGGACGCCAACACCCACCCCCACACCGACCAACAGCCACCTTTTTACGACAGAAGATTTCCTATCCCCAGGCGGGGAATGGCTCGGTTACCCAATCTAGCATTTCAGTTCAATAAAAGATTTCAGTTCAACAAAGGACATCATCTTGGAGTTTGATGTAACAAGAGCTGACCTGGAGGTTTATGCTTTAACAACCATCTCCTTTCTTTCCTGTGAAACACAGATTTATGACAGGAGGCAGAAGAAAGAGACAAAGATCTCAGGGTTGACAAAACCCTCCTATGATCTACAGAGCAGGTACCAAGGGTTTCACACTTGTAACTTCTCTGCTCAGAGGCAGACTAGAGAGAACCACATGAGCAGGAAGGCATGTTCCCTCTTGTTTACAAGTTCATCCCCTTCTTAGACTTCTCTCTATGCAAACAAGGATGTCACAGGCGGCAGCAGGTTCACTAGCTGAAACCCCAGCAAAGAACCAGTGACTCCACATGTGGGAGACTTCAGCGCAGCTGACAGATGCTATTTCTCTCTGTCCCCATTGAGCCAGGCTGGGGAGATGGCACATTTCAGACAGGACGCCCTCCCCAAGCAGAACCCTGAAGAAAAAAAGCTGTTCGAGAACCCAAACCAGGATCTGGTTTCTGCCAGTTGAGAAGGACAGAGACCAGTAGCTAAGACAAGGTCATTACAGAAGGTACGTTGAGAGTCAGCAGACTCTCCATATTCTCATGTCTTTTCTGGTTTTACCTATATAAAGCATTTTAAATGTACATTCTGTAGTGAACAACAGTTGTAAAAAACATAAAATTTTGAGTAAACACCAGACACAGTTGGTGCTTATCTATGCAAAAAAGAGAAAAGGTTTTTGTTTGTTTGATTTTGGAACTCCAAGTAACTACTCAGAGCCAAAAGGCAGATAGTGGGCTAATCAGATTATCTTTAGCCATATTCACAATATTGAAGGCTAAGAATTGTAAATACAAACACTTTGTGCAAACTGAATTTTTGGACTTAAACTCATGCTGTAATTCATGTGTTTGAGAGGAATATATATATTACATACATATACACACACAGCAGATTAATGTATATATTTTATACAAAGCCAACAGTTTCCACTGAACTATCATTTGAGGTATTCAAACTCAATTCCATTCTCTGTCCGAGACAGCAGACTCCTCTGGTTTGAGGTTATTTTTAAATATAAAAACTAATTATCCTATCTCACTGCCTATAAATCCAATTTCTATTCCTGATTCTGCTTCTGTTGTACATCTCTCAGTGGTCCCTCTGCAGTGTGACTTGTTTACACGCTGGTCTCAAAACACAGGAAAGACAGGAATCAAGTAAAAATAAGCTTCTCCACCTTTTAGGAGGGTTTGCTAATACAGCAACATTTCTGTAACGCTATATATATAAAAAAAAAATCAAGTCCATTTTCTAGGATGGGATAGGTTTTTCTTTTAAGGTGGTAAATTTTATAAGAGTAAAGTAGAGAATGTCAATTTGGCACATAAAGAGAGAAGCTGATGCCAAAGCCAGAATGCTCTCTCTGGGTTTGCAGATTTTCCCGCACAACCCATCAACCAGTGCACGTGCAGGATGCATCCCACAAACCTTTGCAGACCAGAGCCTCTGTTTTTCACTGTGTCAGCCTACTAAGACCTTTCAAGGCCCTTCTGGATTGGATGGCAGAGCAGAAACAATGAACACTCTCCCCGCTAAACCCTACTAATTCCTTAAAAACGGAGTCCTTCCCAAACATGTCGAGGAATGCAAACTAACAACTACAATTTACGCTTACCAGCGGGGGTGGCAAAGGTCAAAGGCAAACCAAAGTAAATTGACAATGATAAAGCGCTCCAATAGCCGATGGTTAAAAACAAATCCTTCAAGTCTTTCCCACTTTCTCAGTGTCAGTTATGCGAGCCGATCCGAAGAACTTCAGAAAGTTTCTCATCAAAAATCGCTCCTGACATTCCCAGGGCAGCCACCAATTAGCTGCTCAACCCCTGGCAGCCTCTTTAACTTTCTAGACCTTATTTTTCTTATCTATGAACAAGGTGACCCTGAGGTTCCTTCCAGCCCCAGCCAGCCATGGCCGATGATCAAAGGCTGTGGCCACCCCCTAACTCCGGCCCCCTCCCAAGAGCCTTTGCCGGCCTCGCCTCCCCATGGCTCTGTCTACTCTGGTTTTTGGCCCCAGCAGGCAATGGGAGCCTACGGAGGCCAGATCTTTTTCGGACCTTCCTGACTGAGGTGCTGTTTCTTGGTTTTATAAGCATCTCAGATCGAATGAAGAGTAAGGAGAGAATAAAAAGATGAGCTGATTATTGAGATGAGAATCCTCAAAACAGAGAAAAACACATTTGTGAAGAAGAAAAAGTCACTTTGGGACACTCTCTGGGCTTTTTTTCCCTCAAGAAGGGATTCTGGAAGCCCCTTTCATGTTCTACTCTCTCCGCCCCCATTCTTGAGGCTGTGATTCTCGTTTCCTATCTCCCTCAAGATGAAAAAGGAGGGAAAGATCTTTTTTCTCTCTCTCTCTTCTAGTTTGGCCAAACTCAGATCCTTCTTCCATGCACTGATTTCTGAACTTCCTGGTAAACTTTGATTAGGCCCAGCTACCATGGGAGTTGACCTTTTGTAATGGTATTTTAAATAACACTTTTCCCACACTGGATATCCACAAAGGTCAATATTTGAATTCTTCCCACCCTTATTTTTGAAGCAATAAAGCTTTCTTCAATCTGTCACATATGAGTAGATTGGAGCCTGTGGTGATTTCTACCAGGAACCTCACCTTCCCCCAAAGGAAGAAACTTGCAAGGCACTTGGCTGAATCCAGGTATTTGTCAACCTAATTGGTAAATCTAAATACAAGCTTAATTTTTTCCAAGAGAAAACTCTAAGTCCAGTGTAAAGAGTATAGTTCTGCTGTTACGACTATTACACCCTGGGACCCAAATATTCGTTCACCAACCCACGTTAGAACAGAATGATATGCTGCCTTCATGAGTCTGTGTGCTTCCCGAGGAGGTATTTAGTCAGCTCCATGGCTCACACATTCACTCTTTTGCTCCAACACCATTTTATATCAAAAAACCTGGAAATCATTTTTGATGGCCAAAGTTTGTATGATCTGAACACCACTGTGTTACTGAGGCCGCGTTAAATGATGTTAGATTTCATTAAAAAACACACGCACATAGCAGTGATGATAATGTCTTTCACTCCTGATACACCTTCACCCAAGTGTGACAAGTTACAAGCAGCTCTACTCTCACTGTCCTTACCAACCCTACCCCCGTGGAGGCCACAGGGTGGAAGACCACGTGGAATGCGCCTTTCCGTTCTGGGGCTAAATACAATACAGCCCTGACTCTTTCTCAAACACATTGAAAGGGCCCCTGAGTTTCATGACAACAATGAGTTTCATTGTTGTTGAGAAATAAAGGACTTGCTTAAATAGTTTCATATGTAAACAGCCTAGCTCAGAGTATCATGCGTACAATATTACGTGTAGTTTTCTCTTTTAGTGTTTGCAGTTTCCAGTTTAGGATTTATCCAATTATCTATCTATTGTCTGGCAGGCCTGGCATGGGGATTCCAGTTACAGGAAATGCTTCTGTGATCGCAGGCCCAAAGCAAACGCTGGAGCAGATGGCAGCACATCCAAGAGGGTGTGTAGGCACCGGAGGGGTTTGCCTTGGGGGGAGAGGCAGCCAGGCAAAACAGCCCAAGTGAGAGGTTCAACGACAAAGCTACTTCTAACCACTTTGCATGGGTCTGTTATTTACTGTGGGAAGGGGGGTAAAAATGGATTAGGGGGTGTGTATGGGTGGGGGAGTGACACTGTTGAACCCTGCTTGAGGTGGTGGCGAACACCTGTGCTTGTAAAGTTGTGGGGCACAAAGGAGAGCAGAGCTCTGCTGCGATATTTCCAGAACCCTCCAGTGCCTGCTTTGGATAGCTCTGGGCAGACCCACAGACTCTCAGGGCAGGAAGACTGAGGCCAGCTCAACACCTCTGCGGCTTCCTCTCCATTCATGGTCAGAAGATTCCTTGAAAACCAAAGTCAGATCATTTTGCTTCCGTGCTCAAAACTGTCCACTGGCTCCCCATCGCACACAGAACAAAGTCCCAAATCCGTGCACGGGTCTCCCAGGCCCTACAGTGGTTCCTGATGGCAGCAGAGCCACCTTGGGGGCATTTGGGAAGTCTGTGGGGGCCACTTGGATGGTCACTCAGTAATCAGGGGTCACTGGTGGCTTTCACAGGGTGGACAACCTGAAATGCACGGCATGGTCCTGCACAACCAAGAAATGTCCCACATCCCTATGA